TTTTAAAAACTCTTTATTTCGATATTAGGGCAAAAGCTTCTCTTGCCTTTCATCTTACTGTTTATCGTGGGAAGAGATGCTGCTGATTGCACAGTGGAGATCCAGCCAATTAAAGAGTGTAAAACCATATGAAATCTGTCTTTATGCCTTACAGCTTCCACATTCCATGATGAAGGGAGTTTGGAGACAGAAAGTGGCATTACAAAACAACTCTGGCAAAAAAATATGCAAGCAGTTTGCAAAGAAGCTGCTTCATAATCCCAAAGCTTGTTCTATTCTCTTTCCCCTCCCCTAAACCTATAAAGTTTTTAACACAATTCTATTAAGAACCTCTTCTTGACCCATGACCTATTAGCAAAGTATCAGCTCTCTGCTCCTAGCAGCGTACTTGCAGTTCTTGGAGATATTGGTATTTTAGGCTACACTGCCAGATAAATGAAAGTGATCTGAAGCACAAGGAAGCAGTTTGCTGCAGTCATGCTTGTAGCTAGTCAGAATTTTAGCACTCACTGTCATGGATTCACAGAGCGTATGTGCCCTAAGCTAACCCAGATATGAGCAAAGTGACTTAAGTAACTGTAAAACATGTCTCTAATGCTGCACCATCCCAACCTCAGGATCATGTCAATAAGGCCTTTGGCCTGAGGTGGGTGTCACATGTGTATAAAATTGTATTTCTCCTCTCTTATGACTTTCTCACAGAATTCTAGGCAGATAGAAGTAACCCCCTTGGATGAAGAGACGTGCAGCTTGCTTAGTAGTTGTCCTTCTGTGCCTGAAAACAATATAGTTGTGTTAGACATTTCCACCTCACTTTCCAGTTAGGAACATCCAAGGTGCAAAGGTCCCTTGCAAAATTTTGTGTCCTATTCTACTTTTTTTTTAATAAACAGAGAAAGAAGAGTGCAGTTAGGAATAAGATAATGAACAAGTCCTACAAATATGTTAATTGTTGCTCCCGCAAGATCAGCATGCTGACTGCAGAGAGAGTTGTCAGCACGAATTTATCATCATAGCCAAGATGCCAACAGTGACCAATTCATACCATGCCAGCAAAATCTACAACTTAATTTTATCCTGTACAAACTGGCTAATGCATGATCTCTAAGTATGGTGGTTAAAGATGCATCCACCTGTGCTTTACTAATGCAAATTATCTAATGAAGTGATGAGGGCATATACTAATGCCATTTTGAGCAGGAGGTTAGACTAGATTACCTTGTGAGGTCCCTTCCATCTGGATGATCCTAGGATTACTGAAATGTATTTTGAACATGGCTTGCTTAAATTCACAACTACTAGAGAGGTGTTTGTGTACAACACCCAAACACAATGCAAATTTAGCTTATGAAGTTTATCAGAATTCAACATGAAAATGGGAGAGGAAGAAGAAGTAAATTATCCTAGCAAAAATGGTAGGTGAATATTAGTGAAATATTACTGAGGAAAGTTACAAACAACAGAATAATGTCAGAAAACTTAACTGGAAAAAGTAAATTCAGTATCTACATCTACTAAGCTATTCAGCCTATGTTAGGCCATATGATACAGTGACTCTCTTTCTCTCTCCTCACCCTCTTCCCCTTTCTCTTTCCCCCCTCCCACCGAGTTATTTCTCTTAAAAGTAAGAAAATACCTGGTTTGTAAAGGAACTGGAGCTCTGTAGAAAGAGAGCATTTGGATAGGAACAAAGAATTCATTACCAATGGAGTTTCTCTGTATGGTCAAACTATAGGAAACAACAGGGCCATAAACCAAAGGGGACAGACAGAAAGGTGCCCTATAATTTCCTTAAAGCAATGACTGTGACTGCTGCTGTCTCTTTGATGAAGGAGCTATCCTACAGTTCCTGCTTGGGAGACAAAGCTCATCTATAAAGATTAATACCCCACCTACCAAACCCAAGCTTGGTGTTTTTCTTACAGATTCCCTTTTCATTTGGCGCATTTTACTCTTCCCAGTGATAATGCAGCAGACACTAATCACTCTGATCAAATATCAGGACCCAACTTCATTACCAAAACAATCAAAAGAGTAGGACTATGCAAAAAACTTTGGGATACTTATGAATAAGTTTTTGAAACATGAACAGTGATGGATAGAGGCTTGTTTTACAGTGATCATCATTAAATGTGTGTCAGAACAACTATAGTTGACAAACATAGAAAGGGTAATGTGAAAATTTAAGACGGTGGTTATGGGTTAGAGGTACCTAACCACCTTTCCTAGTTAACTTCCCTAAACATATACACTGGTTTTGATGAACATTTGATTAATATTGCCTGATACAAAAAGAATTGTGACAGGATGAGAAGTGGTAACTATTTTTCTGAAGATCAAGTTCTCAACCTGGGAGGTCACTGCAGGGACACGGGCAGAGGGAGGGCAGAAGGAGACTGCCACAAAGCTCCTCTAACTAAAAGAGATGGACATGAAGTGAAAGTGTGAATGATCATCACATATCCCCAGAAGCAGAGGCATTGACCAGAGCTAACAGGTGGCAGGCTCAAGACAAACAAAAAAGCAGTTTTTCAGATCACATGTAATAACTGAAACATATTGTTGCATGATACTGTAGGTGCTAAAAGCTGGCACAGGCTCAAGGCCTAATTGAACAGGTTCAGGGAACTGGAATCAATTTGGAGCAATTAAAAAGATGTCATCTTCGCTAAAAAACAAACCAGCTTTGTGGCAGAGCCCTGAGTTATTTGGAATCTGAGAGAGTCTCTGAAAGAAATAGCATGATATGGTTCATAAGAATCAGCTTCTGATCACTGTCAAAAATTGCATACAGGGCTAGTTGGATCTTTGCTCCCGTGTCTGTTTCTGTAGACATATTCTAGAAAAGCGTACTCTGATAGGAAAAATGAGATCGATCACCAGTGTGACTGAAAAGGTATATTTTTTAATTCTTTTCAAACAAAAACGCTTTGTCTTGCAGTTTTACAATGGTGGAGAAGCCTGACTGGCACTTCCTAATGACATTTTAGAGTACTGGATCATTACAGAACAACTACCATCCTAATGCAAACAATATACACTACGCTACAGAGTCACAGTATGTATTTGTGTAAATCCCTAAGGTTCCCTAAAGTTTCTTGTTTTATGCTCACCCACACCTGTGAACAATTTGTCATGTTATCTCCAGCCTGTGGAATGGTCAGTGTAAAAGAGGGAAATTACAAAATTTCTAAGTCAACATTTTACTATGGATGTCACAGATGCTCTGGGAGAAAAGGCCGGATTGAACCTACCTGATGCAATCATTAGGTGAATCCTGTAGAGGGTAGAGGAGAAAGAGTGCAAAAGAAATCCGTGCTGATGTTTCAAGTCTCTGGTTTAAAAAGAAATTAAGATTGTTAGCTTCAGGGAAGTACCTGCAATTATCAACACCAAACTGCACAAAATAGCTCCATGCTTCTACGGGAATGTCCTTTGGGACTGTATGGCAATATATGGCAGTATCTTAAACAGGCATAAACAGTGGTTTGCATTGCATAAATCTCTGAGAGAACAGGTCTCTAGCTGATAAACATGGCTAACTGAATTGCAAGGGAGAAAGACTTTAACAGCAGGCTAAAGATAGCCTGACAGTGCAATGCTCCACAGGTTTGCGTTCTGGTCATTATAGTACATAATGGAAACTGTTGCTATGGCACTCTAACCTTTTTATTTCAGCACCAAAGAAAGACTGTCTTACAGTAGAGAAATCAAAATAATTTAAGAAATAGAGAAGCTTATATTTTTAAAAAGTATTATCTACATACAGATGCAGATAATTACTTCTGAAATTTTCTAGTAGGTGTTATACTACATCTTCAGCTGCCCATCTTCAGTAAGTCTACAGATATCTAACCTATATGGGAGAAGGAAAAAACTCACAAACACCCTTTCTTACTTTTGCTCTGCAACAAGAACAATTAGGGGGATCCTTCCTTGCCACATCTATCCAACAATACTCTTATGGATTTTGTCTCAAAATCTGACGTCATCTTCAGTGCTCCAACTAACAGATATACGTAATTTGCAAAAAAACTTGACTCTCAAAACAAAAGGGATTTTTAGATAGTGCATGGGGAAAACCTTAACTACTTGTCCTCTCTTCTCTCTTGGAGCTCAAAGACCAATAAAAAACACTACTGTGCCTTTTATTTATGCATTTTTAATTAAAGTTTTAGGATACTTGGGCTACATTCAGTCTGAATTCTCAAAAATAATGAATGACATGACTGAAAGAACAGAAAATATGTATTCATTTTCCTCTGGAAACCCTAGGGTTAAACCAGGTGTGTTTTGATCTTCACTGTTTAACTCTATCTTTAAAGAAAGGGGAAGAGCATTTCCTGCTCTACTTTTAAACTAAAGAGGCACGTTTGTTTGATAGAGGCTTTGAACCAGTAAAAAAGTACCCTTGGTTTTATAAACTATATTACAGTTTATTGTCACAGTACTAGAGTGCTGCTTTGTTCTTCAAAGTCCTTTGGGATGAGTTCACAGGGTGAGAAGCTCCATAAATATGTATGGGGCAGCAGTGTGCCTTGTGTTTCTAAATTGAATGTTTATGTCATCCAGAGCTCCAAACACTTTTGTTTATACAGAGATGGGAAGCATGATATATGCTATACAATGACAAGTACCAGAGAAGTCCATTTCCTCCTACTATTTTCAAGAGCTATTATAAGAATAAAAGGAATCTGTCTTGAAATAGACCTATGGAACACTGAGAGATAACTTTGTAAGAATTTTAAAGTGAGTTTCCTAGGAGAGTGAAATCTTGCCTTCTCCAGGACCAGTGTTTTCAATCCCAGGAGGACATGTGAAGATGTGTCCCCATCGTCATCCTCTCAGGTCCCTACATTAATTTATCTATGCCTGATACCTTACAATAGGAGTATAAAATAAACGCTATGAAAAATCATTATTTCTAAAGGAAAAAAAGGGAAAGCACAATTACTGACATATTCAGCTATAATGAGAAACAGTGAAGATACTGACCTTGGGATGTCTGAATTGGTAGAGTCAAATAAATCTAGAAAATCTGAGGAACATAGTTAGAAATAGCATACTTTGGTATGCCAAAATGAGTGCTATCTTTTTCTCTATAGCTACAGGTAGACCAGATGGGTATTACATTAGTCTGGAGCTCTTCCTTGAATGTTCAGTACCATTACAATGCATTACTGGCTATACTAAACATAAGCCATGTGGCCACCTGATATTTAGCAAAGTAGTTTCACATTGGTCTGATATATGCCAGTTCACACCAAATGGTAGTCAAGCCCACTGAGGAGCTGTATAACCTAGAAAGCTTTAGAGTACTCTAATTCCCCGTGAAACGTTAAATGAAAGCTAAAGACGAAAGCACACTCTGTGCAAAGACCACAAATTTTCCAGGTATGCTTTTGGTGTAAATCATCATCAGTGTTTCTGCAGTGGATTACAGCAACTGAGGAGGATCTATTTGTAACTTTCTATAGCTTGCAAGCAAAACAGGTGGCTTCAACATGTCTTTTGCTTGCCGAGGCACACAAAGGATGACTTCCTGCTACTGATGGCTATAGTTATGCAGTGTGCCGTGATGAATGTTGTGATGTATATTCCCATATATGCATCTTGCATGCTCAGCTCGAATGCATCTAACAAATGGTAGGAATATATTTTTGTACCCTGAATAGACAACTGTTCAGCTGCCCAATCCTTTAGGCACCACAGCTCAACCCAACACCCACTGACAATTATCCCATTTAAAGCCAAGGAAAAGCAAAGCATGGGAAAATGTGTGCAAAGCAGCCACACATTCTCCACCCCACATGCCCTCAGAGACAGTATATGCACCACCATCAGGAAAGTGTTACCTTAACTTTCAGGGGAGTTGATCATAAAAGTCTGTTTGCCCACCGTTGCTGTCCTCTTTCGCATTCTGGGCCCATTACTGTAAATCAACAAAAGAGTTAGGATGACAGGATTTAACCTGCAGATGTAATCAGAAGGTAAAAACCAGCTGTTTTAATTCTGTTCTGAGCTCAGAAAGAAAGAGGGGCCAGAGCATCCAGCTGAAGTTAATTCCTCGGTAACTTTATGTTCTTAACCAGGAATGAAGAGTCCTGCTTGTACCCTGAATGTTTGAACTCAAAGAAGAATTGGAAAGTGTTTGAAATAGCTGAACTGTGTTCAATTCAGCTAGAGAAATAGGAGTTTCCTCATACCAATACAGGACTAAACATGCTAGAAAACATTAGATCTTACTGAAAAGAAAAAATTCTCTGAAGCTGAAATGTGACCAAAAACTGCCTCAGAGAAAAAAAATTAGAATTGCATTGTAAAGTACAAATCATTCTCTCTTCTTACTACCAACCATGATACAATTCTTATTTTTTTTCAAATACTTTCAAAATTTGTCCAGTTTCAGAAAAGTTGGAGTTTTAGAGTTTTTTGCCATTAACTCCACTTTTAATATATTCCATTGTGGGAAAAGGGAGGAGAAAAGAACAAGAGAAACAACAGGTTGTTGAATACTTTTGTATAATTTTGGAAGGTGGAAGTGTTTCATTTTGATTCTTGCAAAATAACCAAGTAAAGATGTATTTTAAATGTCATTACAAAACAGACACACTTTCCTTAATCATCTCCATAGTAGGAACTCTGAAAGTGCTCAGATCGAATCTCTTGTTCATAACATTCCACATAAAGATTACAGTTAATAGAATCATCCAGATTAATTGTAAGATGCTGGAGTTTCTAATTGTGAACAAATGTAACAGTGAGAAGTTGTTACAGCTATTTTTCATCGATAGACCTCAAAGCACCATACATTCATTAATTATGGATTAATGCAATCTAATCTATTTGGGAAGCTACCCTGAACAAAACCAGAATAGCTTGCATAAACTTCAGCTCCAAGTGAATAACTTAATATTTTGTTTCAAAGACATTATCATATCTTACAGACAGAGTTTTTGTGGTGTTACTAATTTTAGTAACTGATCTAAGGAAAGAAGGCTTTACACTGTTAATCAATTGAAATACAAGATTTACACAACAGCATTCGCAGAACATGACTCAGAGTGCCTTCTGAAAAATACAACGTGAATGCTTAAGTGCTTGAATATCAAAACCAAAGAGAAAATTCTGGAAAAAAACCCACAAGGATAAATAAACATAGAAGACAGGAGCTCATTACATTTTTTTCCTGTTTAAATTGGCCTGGCCATAGGGACAGTCTCAGTACCAACAGAGGTCCTAATCTGTTGGATATGTCTGCATTGCCACATTGGTTAGCTTCACTAAAGCTCCCTACAGGCACCTGGGCTCATCTGGCAAGTACAATAGAAAGCATTCCGTGAAATGCAAAGAAGGATGTTAAGCTTCCTGGTTCACTGAAAAACAAAGTCAGTCACCCAACATTTCCTTTTTCACATTGCAATTAGAAGAGAGTTTTCAGAGCAGTAGGTCCTTTCATGTTTTCCCATGGGTACATGGTGCAAGAGCCCTGGATGTGGGAAAAACATAGATCACCTTGCAGGTAATCTTGGTTGCTTTAGTTGGTTGTGTAATGTGATACAAATGGGTGCATTTGTAATATGATTTTGAAAAAAAACTTAAAAATGTATTTCTCTTTACTTGTCTTCAGCAGTCAAATACAAGCCTTGCCTGTACACTGTATGGATCTAAGTAGATTTATCACTACAATATCCCTAACATTAGAAGAAGATTAGGATATAAGGATACAAAATTTTTATATGTGTACAGCTGCAAGCATACTTGAGACTGTACCATAGATAGGAAAAAAAAAAAAAAAGGCAAAAAAGAAAGCATCTAAACAACCCATAGCTCTAATAAACACAGGCACACTGATAGAAAGACCACATTTGTATAACACATTGGAGTGTGTACTTGTGCTGTTAAGAATTCACTAAAACTCTGCTGGAATCTAACAACAAACTGCATGCATATGCCCAGGCCACTGAAATGCAGAGGAAGATGTGCTTGCTTAACCAGATCCTGAGGACAGACTTTTGCAAATCCTACTACCAAGTGAAGAGCAAGGGATTATCGGATCACACCCTAAGGGCCCAGAACTGCCATATGGTTCCTGGGAAAACCTAGTATGAGATCCACAGCACATTCTGAAGCAGAGCCCAAAGAGGAATTTAAAGTAGAAGCACTACAAAGAGTAAAATGAAAAATTATTCTATTAACTTAAGTATAGTTTTCTAAGTGTCTCATAGCTAATTATGAATTGCAAGTTAATATTTCTCCTGGCCCTGACAGAATACAAATTAATTGCTAGCTTGTGCCTGCTGCCATAACCCTGGGTACATCAGATTTCTAAGCAAAAAATGAAAGGAAAGAAGGAAAGCAAAACCACAACAATTAATGCAGCTTATATATATACTATATATATATATATATATATATGTATATATATATATATATATATATATATACACTGAAAAGTAAAAAGTAGAAAAGGTGAAAGGTTGTTCCATGATGGAGAAAATTCATGCTGAACTCCTCCAAAGTAATTATTGAACCTTACTGTGTGTATGTTTCTTGCTACACACACACACATACACACACTGCATTTTATTCTTTCAGGCTTTGCAGGGGCTTACTGGGATGCAAGTCAAATGTTTTTAAGCACATTACTTTAGACAGAGTTCAGTGCAGCAAGAAATTAGAAGGCAGGAAACCATGTTTAGGTTCAGAGTAGCTTATCTCACTTGGTCCCATCAGCCCTGTAATATCATTTAGCAAGAACTCAAAGTGCCACCTTTGTCCTGGGAAGTTCTTTGCTCATATTAACAGGAAGACATCATTCAAGGTTTGAGATGATGGCTAAGGGAGAACTCAACGTAATGCACTGATTTATTACCAAGTCAGTATTGCAGACAAAGAAGGTAGGGATATTGTGAAACACATGGTTTGCACAAATCCTGCAACTCTTCAGTTCATGAAGGAGTCAAATTCTTCAGCTTGTGAGAAAACCAGGTGAGAAACCAAGGCAACAGTAGCGCAGTACTCACTAGCAGAGCCCAGAAGAACACAAGAAAGATAATAAACTGTGTATGCAAACAAAGGATATTGTAGATATAACACCTCAAATACCAACTGATTTTGGTCTTAGAGTAGGAATGATCTGTGACAGTTACTGGTTTCTCCTGATAAATGTGGCCCACTTCAATTTGGGGCTAGCACATTTCAGACAACTCTGTGCATCTTGTTCATAAGAATTACTGGTCTAGTACAAGACCTCACAGAACAGCTTTGCCTTTTTCTCTCACTGCATCAGACTATTGGGTAATATGCAATTAATTCCCCTCTGGACATGTCTGAGTTTGATCACTGCTGTCAAGCCTAACTCCTTCAATCATCTGTTTTGATGTCATAATATATGATCAGCATCATGGAATAGTTTCTTGTCTGGGCAACAGCTCAGATTGCCTACTTCTTCAAATTAGAAAACCCATACACGCTATTGTGGTTCATGTTTCTGACAACGATCATCTGTAAACTCAGAGATGTCAAACTGACTACCCATCTCATTTTGCTTTCAGCATCACCAAGTCTATTCAATACAATGTTTAATCTTTTGGCAAATGTTTTTGTAGGATGGGGGAAAAAGTATGTCTACAGTGGCATTCAGATTCCTAGATGAAACAATATTTTAAGCTATGTTTTAGTAACATCTATTCAGAAAAGAGGCATCTAGCACTGCAGTTCAGTGACTGTTTCTTAACTCTGCATTATTTTTACTGACAGTGAAATTCTACCAACTGTAACAGTAATAGTGAACATTTTTCTGAAGGACAAGCATAGGGAAGACATAGAACACAACATACACAGACACATAGAGAAAAGAAGAGTTAAATTCTCCTGTTACAGACTCAGAGGTTTCAAGGCATAAAATCATTTTAATGGACAATAAAACTGAGAAATTGTTGGTATGAGGCAATCCCACATCTCCAAGGTCTCTTTATAGCAATTGTATTAAGATTCAAAGCACTTCCATGAATCAGAGTCATTAAAGATTGCTAATGCTTATTTTCCAAACAGTATAAGAAATACTTGAATGCTCCCCATGGCACTGCATCATGACAAGATAACATCCCTATGCAGGTGCTCTATAACATGGAAGTATTTCTGCCTTCACCCAGTACTTAGGCTATGAGGGAACTACTGTTACCTACCTACTGAATTTCTTAACAACTTAGCAAAGCTTTCAGCATGTGCTGTCTATAGGTAATCCTAGCTCTCATACTCTGCCGCTCTATAAATGGGGGTATTTGTGTCTTCCTACTTGACTTTATCCATGCACAGTTTTTACACTCAGGTTTCTATTTGCTTTGACTGCTTTACTTCTGAATGTCACTAGCAAAGTGGTATCAGTCACTGAACTGCTGAGCTGAAAGTGCAGATATTTGTGTATCATCACCAATTCACTATAACTGGCCCAAACTATTAATGTTGGCTGCAGCAACAGAAACATAGTTTGCAACAAGTCTGTGTTATTTAGAACTTGACATAAGGCAAAAAATATCAGCCTCATCTGTCTCTCCAGTTTGACATCCTGACTCCACACTTTACAAGCACCAGCCTCTCTCTATGCGAAGTCCACCCAGGGGCAGGAGATAACAGCATGGGCAAGGCCTGCAAATAGCAGCACTCAGGATTAGGATGAGAATTGATCTGCACCAGATTATTTTGGACCTGGACAAATCTAGCATGAGGCTGTCTGCACTTGACCACGTGAACACAGCTCTCTAAATGAGCAGGGTCTAATAGTCACCATTCTGAACGATGAGTGGAAATGAAACAATGCAAAGTGTGCTTTTCAAGATTTTAATAAATAGCAATAAGAAAAAGATACATTTCAAAGAAAATTCCAGTGAGAGAACAGTGTGTGAGGATCACACATCTGCACCCAAGCCC